GAGAGAGAGAGAGAGAGAGAGAGAGAGAGAGAGAGAGAGAGAGAGAGAGAGAGAGAGAGAGAGAGAGAGAGAGAGAGAGAGAGGAATGTGAGGAGTTTGCATAGACGGGTTGACGGGGTCTCGGAACGTACTAGGTTACGACGCAGTGTCCCGTATACGCTGCCGCAGCGATGGGGTGAACGTCCGCCTCGCCATCTCTGACCAACGTTAGAGCGTGCAGCTGTGTTAAGAACAGCAAGGCCTTCTCCACTTGGGGAGGACCGTTGTTGCGGAGGGCTTGGCCCCATTGCGTAATGACGTTATGTAGAGCCCCCTCGCTCCCATGCAAAACGGTCATTAGGCAGGCGGCCATGATCACGGCAACCGCTGGCCGTCCGACTTCCTGGCTTCTGCTGCTACGCTTTCCCCTTCGATTGCCACCCGGGCAAGAAGGGTCGGATTCCATCGCCCGTTGTCGGTCCTTCGACTCCACGCTTCTTCGGTATGTCGCTCGCATCTTCGCTCGACCTTTGAGTCTTTGAACGGCTCCCAAAGCTCCTTGCCTAACTCGGCTAACCTTAACCTTCAACTTGCTCGCTTGCTTGTGCTCTCCTGAGTCTCCTCCAATCCTCTCTCTTGGTACAGCCTGTGTCCCCTTGTTGCAAAATCTCTCCGGGCCCCGCCCGGGGTCTGTAGTCCTAGTCCAGACTATAATGTCGGTACTTCAATCCAATTCGGCTATGGCGGCCACCATGGCAATGACAAGGCTCGTTCCGGCGATGTGATTTCGGTAGTAGTTCAGTGGAGACGTCACTTCGGATGGCTACTATGTAACCGGACGCAACCGGAGGTAAACGGAGGTAACCGGAGGTTCAACGCAGAGTTAAACTAATTAGCTGAGGCCACCTAAGTTTGCCACGTGGACCTCTCAGGCGGTCGTAGGCACAGAAGTCTTGGTGGAATGAGACCAATCGATGAATCAATGCTCACCCTGCTGCTGCACATCTCTCTCCCCCAGCTCGGACACCGTCAGAGTGTCGTCTATTCGCCGAGGATGATTGGCACAATTTGGCACTGCCTCGGCTAAGGTCTTGCCGATATCAATGGCCGACCATATTTGTAGTTTTCTGTCAAAGGGCACTATACCGGGAGGAACACAATTATGGCAGACCCAAGCTGCAGAAGGTCAATCCCCTCTCTCTCTCTCTCTCTCTCTCTCTCTCTCTCCACACACCCTTCTCTCTCTCTCTCCCTCTCTCTCCCTCTCTCTCTCTCTCCCCGCCCCCCCCCAAAAAAAAATAAAACACACAGACTACTGGTGCATATGGTAGGGGTACTAGGGGAACGCATACTTTCTAGGAAGGGATAATTGGTAGATACCGCCCATGCCAAACCTTTTCTGCAGCAAATTCTGCTTATAGCACCCCAACCTTGCCGGTTTGCTAAAATGGGCCTACCAGAAAATGAATCGGGAAAAATACAGCTCCAGGTTCACAAGCGGGTCGAAAGAGGCCCAGCGGGCGGACCGAATCCTGACAGGACTCATGGCCCTTTCTACCGACCCGGATTAGTTTGGGCGAGATAAACCAAAAAGGTCTTCTTTTTTCTTTTCTTTTTTTTTTTTTTTCTTTTTTTTTTTGTTTTTGGGCCTGATTCCTCACGTGACCCCGAAGCTCCCAACTCTTCCCCTCTCCATCCTACTTCAGTTTTTTTTTTTCTTTTTTTTTCAAAGCTATGTTCTCCTCTCAATTTCAGCTCACACTATAGAAAGAAAAAAAAAAAAAATTCAGCTCACACTACCTACCTACCACCACTCCTAATTGTAGGCATACGGGGAACCCCGTAGCAGCCAGAAACGGGTTCACGAGAGAACATGCGGGGGCTGCTCCCGAGTCCCAACCTGCAGGTGGGCGATACCGGCTGAGGGACAGCCGGTGGCATCAGGGACCATGCCAACAGGACCAATCCCTGTGCCTCCCCTCAGGTGGTTGTCCCCCCCCCCTCCCCTACGAACATCAGCAGACTCTTGCTCAATGCCGATCGGGGGATCCAGTGGTCTATCTCTAGGTGGAGGGCGCCAAGCATGCCCAGGAAGGTACATGAGGCCAATGGGGATTGAATCCAAGACCTCCTGAATGCCACTTGCATGCCTTACCAATTTAGTTAGGCCGCCGGATCTACCTCAGTTTTCGAGTCAGTTGAGGACTGTCTACAGACTTTTCGGACCCTTGGGACCACGGGGGGGAGGTGCTCTTTTTTTTTTTTTTT